AAAGGAATCGCGCGAGCAACTTTCCCACTCCAAGGCTTTAGGCCAGGGCGGGAGGGAGGGTGCCGGAAAAGTCTTGAGATGTGACAGGCGGCAAGCGTTCACATCAGAAATCTGCACAGCAGTAAACATGATGTCCACTCAGCCAGCTCATATGTGTTAGCTGCAAGCGCACACATTTTATGAGAGGAGTGGCAAGGCGGCCGTCTTGGGCTCACTGCAATCCGATGGACGTCGCAGCAACTCCCGCTTAAAGGAATCGCGCGAGCAACTTTCCCGGACTAAACTGTCAGAAGGACGTACTGGAAAAAGGGACCCTTCAACTAATAATCGAGCAAAATTTAAAAAGACGATGCTGGATGCGGTTGGTGGCAGAGTCAGCCAGCACTTGAGCGAACTGCCGGGCCCATCTGTGCGGGTAGGCCTGAGCGACGGCGGTCCAGCTTCTGCCCTGCGGAGAGTGGCCACAAAGTCGAAGATGCTTGCACCCACTGCGTGAGCAAAGGCCGTGGGCACCTGCGCACTTTAGGACTGGAGCCTCGGAGAGGCAGTGCCAACCACAAACTCGAGTTCGCTTCTTCCACTGAGCACCGTACTGGCAGTAGTCGGAGACGAACTCCTGACAGCACGACAAGACGCGAAGCTGCGCAATGGGTTCGGCAAGGAACAACTTGCTGGAGTGCGGGTTTTCCAACAGGCAGGGAATAGCTGCACGAATGCACTGCTCAATGATGATAGCAGAGAAAATCATGGTAGCATTGCCAAGCTGAACTGCGCGAAGATGTTTACCACAAAGGTTGGGTACACCAAGGAGGTACTTTCGAGTGCGAACAACAGGAGAGGCATGGGCGACCGACCACGTAGTGCACGGGCATCCCAACCAGACTCCTAGAACAACACCGTTAGCGATCCAACCTTTGAGTGTACTGAGAACGGCAGGGTGACAAACATCTTCGCACGGATTGGAAGCGATGTCGAGGGAGACAACGCCAAACCCAAGGTTTCGCAGACATCTTGAAATCTTCTGTGAGCCAGAAAAGAGCTCAAGGAAGACTTGATGCTTGTGGATTTGCGCAGCTTTACGGGCCCGGTACAGGAGGCCACGTAAATGCTTCCGAACCTTCACATCACTTAGTGTGCTGGCAGGGGCTTGAAAAGCAGACTCAGCTGATCCAAGCTTGATCCGCTCGGGCACGTCACTGCGAGTTGTAGCAGTCGGGCACTGCGAGGCAACTGCTGCTCCACGAAGGCACCGTACAGGCGGGTGGCCACAGGTACTTTGTGGATCTGCTGTTGGGCCAGAGTTGCCTTCTCGTACCTGCGGAGACTGGAGTCTGCAGCCCATCGCCCTCTCTTCTTGATTTCTTTCAGCGGAGTTCCTCGCAGACGAAGATCGCTTGCGCCGCCATGTCTGTTTCCATGCAGAGTCAGGCTGAGCTCGTGGAGGTTCAGGTAGTCTGCGGCCTCTTTGAACTTGCGTCCGAGCTGCACTCCGGTGAAGGGAAACAGGGGGGCGAACTTGGCTCGTGTGGCCACTAGCGCCTCGAGAGCGGGCAAGACGAACTCCACTTGTTGGCTGAGGGTCACACTCTCGTCGAAGACATTGGCTTTGCTGGGCGTGTTGCTTTCTTCGGATGGGGCCAGTACCACCCCCCAGGACGGCATGTTGGCCGTCGGCATTGGCGGGACCATATGCTGCGGTTGAAGTCCAATCAGTTCTCCTGGCCGCAAAAGAAGATCCCACTGAATGAGGAGGGCGATTGCCATCAGCACTTCCCCGCGCGCCAAAAGCAAGCCCACGATGGCGATGAAAGCGATCCAAGGTGTAGGCAGCCTCGTTTGGGGCGGAGCCAGATTTCTGAATCCTTCGAGGGCTTGAGTGGCCCGTGGTAGCGTCAGAGACCCATGCCTGCCGAACTGGGGGTGCTTGAACTTGAACGCGGCGAAAACGTACTCCGCGGCGCTGACGTTTTGGTTCAACACGAAGAGCTCGTTCAGGTAACCGGTCAGGAGGGCGTCCCAGTCCGAGGTCAGGCTCTGGTAGAACTGCACCCACTGGTAAAAGGCCAGGAGGACTTTGGTGTAGCGGTCCTGTGTCGTAGTACGCCGAAGCTTCCCCATCTCGAGTGCAGATGTCGCTCCTGCCAGGATGGCTGGTACATCCGGCGCCGCAGGGTCGACCCGCCGAATCTTGCACGGCCGAAGCTGAGGCTTCGCAGCTGGAGGGCGCAACACCCGGACCTCCATGAGTGGGCGCCGCTTCGTCAACAGCGCATTGCGGATGCAAGCTGGAGAAGGGCTGACGGGATGGCTTATCAGCGCAGTTCCTTTCTGATGGGATCCAGCGAACATGAACACGACAATCGGATGCCAATGAGAGAGCACAGACTTGTCGGCAAGTGTTGTTCAGTAGTGACGAACCACTCCTGCCCTTGCAGACTCCCAAAGCGAGAGACAAGTTATCAACAAGAACAAGATGTCTCCTCTGCTGGCTCTGCAAGGCCCGCAACTTGTGGCGAATACCACTGATCATTGCGCGCCCCTCAGTGCGCAAAATGTTCTCGTTAAAATCCCAAGCTCCGCTGAAAACGGTGTGCCAAGCCTCAAAGGAGAGCACGCCAGCGGGGATCTCCTTGAACTCCGAACTGCAGACACGAGCACACTCCTGCTGAAGGTCGGCAGGGAGGTGCTCCTCTGGCTTTAAGCCCAGAGCGTTGGCCCGCGCCTTGATGGCACCTTCTACGGAGTAGCGCCATTGTTCACAGGACCTTCCGCAATCAGCGACAACGGCTGGTGCCAAGCTGCGCTCACAAACCCCGTAACCAACTTCAGAACTATCCGTAGCACTGATTGTGGCATCCCAGGGTAGGGCCCATGAGGTGCTCAGCAACGGTAGCAAAGCTGAGGCCTGCAAAATCTCATCGCGGGCCCGATGCCAAAGGTCAAGACCTGGCTGCGATGCACGTATGTACTTGTAGACTGAGCTAAAGATCGACAGGGCCTCTCTTCTGACCATCATGGCAAAAGTGAAGTGCCCAACGATCTTCTCAATCCACTTCGGAGGCGGAGGGCCTCGTAGCCGTCCAAGAGCTATAGCTGAAAGGCGAAGCTTCCAAACGCGGTGGCTGGTCAACATAACCCGCTTCTCAGCTCCGTCAAATCTAAGCCCCAGGCCCTCGACAATGGGCTGTGCATCGGTAACCTCGTGAATGGCAAAACCCCACAACTCAAGGACGCCCTTCATGCAGTCAAGCGATTGTTGCACAAACTCACGGTCAGTACCACAGACGAAGAAATTGTCGACATACTCAGCGTGAATAGCCCTGCCTTCAGAAACCTGACCAATCCACGACCGGTCCTCAATGCAGTCCGTCTCCTGTAGGCCGGCCTGGGCGGCAGCTGATTGGAGCACATGCTGGCAGAAGAACAGTGACCAAGACCAGCCCATAGGCAAAGTCGCGTACTCTGGGGTAATGTAGTCCTCTCCATTGCAGCCTGCAGGCCAAAGCTTTCGGTCAACAAACTTGCACTTGATGGCAGGGAGCCTGAAGAACCGACGAAGATGAACAGGAAGAGCCATCCTATGAAATGCATCAGCAACATCCCCCGCTGCGGTGTACAAAGTGTCTTCTGAGTCAACCTCGATGCTACTCCAGGCGGCAGGCGTAGGCAGCCTGGTCGGCATCGGCTTGCGAAAAGCACGATTAGCAGCCCGCGTGTCAAGGATGAGCCTGAGTTTCCCGCTCTTCTTGTGCACAAAGAACACGCCCACGGTGTGCGCGTGCCGTCCACTGACAAAGGTAAGCATGTGAGACTGGTGCAGCCTACCGTAAAACCTCCCCAAAGAGGTAGGGGAACTGGCAAGTGCAGGATCGATGTAAGGCTTGACCACCTCCTCTTCGGGAGCGGAGCCCTCTTCGGCAAGAAGTGCCGGCATGCCTGCCAGAGACAACAAATGCGAAGTTGCCGGGTCCAACCGCTCTGCCACATTGACGGGGCAGCTCCCAGGACTCGGCCAAGAGACCAATGTCTCGTCGAATCTGGCAATAGTGCAATCGGTATCCTGAGAGTACAGGGTCATACCACCGAGAAGCGCCTCAAGGGCTTCTTCGGGACGAGACTGAGGTGGAGGCCCAACCGCCTTGTACATGCGCTCGAGGCGAGCGAGAGATGCGGCCTGGCCAGCCATTGGAGCGGGGCACGATGCGTCACCAGGTTTCCCATAAAGATGATTGAGGGTCTCGACACCTTCGCGAAACCAGGCCTCAGCTCCAAGTCTCCGGCGAATTCTTTGGCGTGTGCCACGGCTGAGGTTGCTCTTCAAAAGACCAGCCTCCCCACAAGGAAGACGAAGAGGGAGGAGATCTCTCTGCCGAACAGCTCCAGTCATCGAACAAAACTGCGCCTGGACGCTATGCCAGGCAAAGAAAACTGCGAGTGCAAAAAGGGGTGCGGCCAACGAGTAGCGGGAGCAGAGGAGGCCAACCGACAGCTCCCGAAGAAAAGGGCGCCCAAGGGCGCCCGCTCAAGGCTTGTTCTTGCCGGCCCTGAGGAGGGCGCGCTCCTCGCGAGCTTTGCGCTGCTCCTTGTTGGCCTGGCTTTCCTCGTGCAACTCTTCTCCCAACCAGCTGTTGAGTGCGGGACAGATGCACAGATTGCCCCGTGTCGGATCCACACCCAGAAAGAAGTGAGATTCATCATCAACTGTGCCGCTGGAGACTGAACCGAGAATCCTCTCACGCCAGCGGTACTGGATCATCTGAAGCCGCCGGCATGCGAGTTCAATGCTTGCAAGCTCACCAATGTTCAGCTGGTCATACTCAATGGCGAGCTCGAGCATCTTGCAGAGGGCCTCGTGCTCCAAGACACCGTTGTCGGAGGGCTGGAGCTTGCAATTGACCTTCCAGGTGTTGTGCATTGTCAGCGGGCCGCCGCCGTTGGTGACGAAGTACTGTCCAACCCACTTGGCCGTGCGCGGCCCCTTGATTGGCCAATCCCCCCAGGGAGACTCACTGGCCAACTCGACTCCATCTCGAACCTCCCGCCTGCGTTTTCCATCGGTGCCATAGCGGACAGCAAGAGTGCGAGCATCGTCTGCCATCCCAACGCCAATGGCACCACCGCCGGGAGGAGGAACAACAGCCGCAGTGGACGGTGTGGTCAAAGCAGTCGCGTAGGCCTGGAGCTCATGGGCAGGAATCAGCTCTGCAAAGATCACCGATCCATCGGCCAGACCGGCAACTCCTTTCGTACCAGCCTGATATCCACCAACAACCTGATTCAAAGGAACGAGACTCCCTCGAGCCCTGACTCCCTCCGTGGCGGCGACAACCCAAACGAACCCTGCAGCAGGAGCAAGCACTGGCCCAGTAGGGGCAGTTGGCGCTGTTGGGGCAGACGTGGAGGCAACGACAGGAGGCGCGGCAGCTGCAACACCATGGTCATTGATCTCCTTCTGAAGGTCGGCCTGTTCTTGCAGAGCGGCCCCACGCATGTGGGTCACCTCTGTGGCATCCGGAGCGTGGCCAATGTTGCCGTCCTCGAATCTGTAGATGTTCCGCCTGGCAAGGCCGGGAGGCGCAGCACGGTCATCTGTCAGGATAGCGAGTCCCTGGACGTTTGGAGCAGCAAGCGATTCCCCGTAGATGTCACCGTCTGGAGTTGCGACGACGCAGTACCCAATCGACCTGAGGTCGCTGCTCGGCGTCGTCGTCGAGAGGATGTACCTCTCGTGCCATTTCCGCTCGCCTGCATACTGCACGAGACAATATTTGCCCTGCAGTGAGAAGGCGGGAAGACATCCCTCCAGAAACCCAGCCATAGTGGAGCAGTGCGCCAGCCCCGATCAGCAAAATGGCCTGAACCCAGGGAAACCTCCAGCTCGATTCCTCAGCCTCACACTGGCAGTTGCAATGACAATGATGGTCGGAAGCCGGGAAGTAGATGGTCCTTTCCGGTCGCCACCACCCGATCACAGCAAGTGACCCCGTAATCAGAAGGCTGAATGGAGGCCCGAAGTCGATGACCATGGGACGAATGAAACACACCCTTTTGCCGGAAAAGTCTTGAGATGTGACAGGCGGCAAGCGTTCACATCAGAAATCTGCACAGCAGTAAACATGATGTCCACTCAGCCAGCTCATATGTGTTAGCTGCAAGCGCACACATTTTATGAGAGGAGTGGCAAGGCGGCCGTCTTGGGCTCACTGCAATCCGATGGACGTCGCAGCAACTCCCGCTTAAAGGAATCGCGCGAGCAACTTTCCC